GTATTGTATAGTGACCAAGAATCCTCGGCTCTGTAAAGTTAATTCGGTTGAGCCTTATCAAATAAATTAATAAACAAAAAAAAAAGTGCGATAAGTGAGGCCAAGAAGAAACATCAAAACAGAAACTTACAGCTTGCAGAAAACAAACATGTATTCTCCAGAAGAGCTGGCGGATATTCATCTCTGTTACAGTTTTGTCAACTGTGTGGCAACGAGAGCCCAGCAAGAATATGGTCGCAGGTTCCACAACCGTCGACTGCCTAACGCAAGTATGTAAAAATAATGTTAGATTTAAGATTTGTATGTAAAAAATTACGCTGACACAGGAACCTTCACGTCTACACACCGTCGGTTCCGGGATGAAACGTTATTTTCGACTGCACCTCAAGCCAACCAGCCCCGCCGGTCGCTAACACCGGCCATGGTGGAGATAATTTTAAGAGAATTTTGAGAAACGATCCCAAAACCAGCACAAGGCGAGTTGCAGCTCAGTTAGAGAATATGCATCCGTTTCATAGGGGAAATGTATGTAATGTCGGCCTAAGTGTCGGCCCATACATACATTCATTCTTTTCCTTTATTTAACGTCGGTCTCTGTTCCACAATCTAGTGCCAATCACCGACGGACATCGATTGCCATCCATTGACGGCAATCGAATGTGCAGGAAGGCAGCTTCCACACCTGCGTAGGATATCGCACCCATTCAACACACATGGGCTGGGACCAACGGCTTTACTTCCCTTCCGAAGGAAGACGTGACCAGAGATTTTTATGCCTCAGAAAAATCCCACCGACCTCGACTGGGATTGAACCCAGACCCATTGGGGTGTTAGAAAGCAGTCACGCTTACCTCTACACCACCGGCGCCGGCTTACATACATACATTCAGCAATCGACTACTTTTTCAATAGCAACCAAAAATATCCATTAGTACCGTCCCGATGACGCGTTAATCTAGATAAATTGATAAATAGCAGATTTTTAGCGATGGGCCCAATCTTAGATCCATAGGCCAACATTAGAGCCATTTCCCCTACGTTACAAGTTCATGAGCTTCTGGAAAGAGTTATACCGCTCCGGATTGAGTTCAGCAGGATTATGATAGCGAAAATGGATGAGGATGCATTGTTCTTGAAAAGCATTCTTTGTACGGACGAGTGCACCTTTACCCGTGCAGGATACTTCAATACCCACAATGACCACACGTGGGTAATTGAAAATCCAAGAAAATAGAGGACACATAGAGCAACTATTGAAATAAATTTATGAAAGAAACGAAGATCAGTGTTTCAATTTGATTGATCATTGGAAAATACCCAATCAGTTCAATGAACTGATCTACATTGGTATCGAGAAAAAAAATAGAACATTTTCAATTTTCATCATGCGTTCGATTGGCGTTGACGAGAGCTCTGTAACTCTTTACTCCTATGGAGAAATCTCATATGTAACTGTCAGTGTATGTGTGAAACATGGCGGACTTTTTCTTATTCTTTCACTCCAACGCAAAACCCCATAAGGAACTGTCAAAATGTGTGTGAAGAAACGTCACTTCGGGACTGGTGTCAAGGCGAATTGAACCGTCCGCAGCATTGTTTATCTTGTCACACTTTTCATACCGTCACTCCGCGTGGCGATCAAATCTCGCGTCACTTTTCAAATAGACCAATGTAACATATCCACCATTTTGAGAAAATCGAAGTTGAAGTTCGACAGATTATTATTTTAACTGTTTAAAAACAATACATTTTGCATTACTATTTTTAATGTAGTCAGCATATAATAACGTTGAAAATTCAGAAGAAACAGTAAAATCACAATTTTACTTTGAATTTCATGCTACAACATAGAAAAAATCACATAGGACGTTTTGACAAGTCGAGTTGTACATCGGACATGTTACATTGGACGATTTTTCTCAATGACATAATCAATGATTGTTACATTGGAAGTTTTGTCTACATGATACTAGATTCCCTTTCACAGATTTCAGAGTATAGTACCTAACTTTAGATTGGCCCCGCCTTTGGAAAAAAGAGCACCAATCATGTTAGGCAGTCCGAATGACCGAAGTAACAATCATGTACCCATCATTTCAAACTGTACATTGGACAATTTTTGATCAATGATTATCTTAAATAAATGAAAGTAAATTTGGATGGATGTTTTTGTATCACATACAATGACAGAAGAGCAATAACTCGATTTGTTTACATTTGTTACATTGGACTATTTGAAAAGTGACGCGAGAAATGTGCTATGCGCGCTGCAAACAGACGTCAACAGCAACGCACGGTGGGGTTGAATTCGTATCTTAAACAACCGTTAATTAACGACCCAACATCATGTGTTTAGTACGAAATTGCGACAAAACTAAATAAGATAGACAATTTGTGTCAAATAGAGAGTTGTAGAACGCATTAAGAGGCATATTTTGATTGGACAATACAATACACTTTATTACGTATTTTTTTGAAAGAATAAGAGAAAACCCGTAGGAAAAAACACAAGTTTTAGCCTCGTGTATCCCTAAACTGTGTATAAATGCAGCTTACCTAAAGTAGAAATGACACTATTAAGTGGTAAATTTACCAAGCTGGCCAATAGAGGCAAGAGTTTTGAAGTTAAATGGCATAGTTTTTGAGTTAGAGCCAATTTATGACAAACATGGACCAAAACAGAAAAAGTTCAATAACTCAGTAATCTTTGAGATTTGATCATATGTGTAGAAAAAATTTTCACTTCAAATATGATCTGCTATCGCCCCTTAAATTATTTGCACTAAAAATATCCTGAAATTTAAAAAAAATCTGCTATATTGTTACTGAATTATGGAGGAAGAGCATTTATCCTTTTGTGCCCTTACAGGCTACACCCCTGGCAAAGGGAAGAATTACCAGTCTTCTTGATATGTTGTCCTACGCACTTAGAAAAATTCATGTAAATTTAGGTGTTCTGAGACTGACATATACGAGCGTAAATTTTGACATAAAATTGAGTCATATTAGACGCGAAATTAAACTCAATCAAACGTACATTCGAACTTTTCAGTCTCGGAGCACTTAATTTTACATGACATGTTTGTTTACGTCTCATACTTTATGTCAAATGTGGATTCCGTCACGTGTAAGAATAGGTATTTCTTAGTGTGTAGCCTAGTTCACAAAGCTCTGGTTATAAGTACATCAAAACTATGCTGGAGGTTCGATTGCCGACTCAATTAACGCTACATTAAGGGCAGGGGCCTCCCTTAGCTCAGTCGGTAAAGGCACAGCTTCAAAGCAAGACCATGCTGGAGGTGGCTGGGTTCAATTCACGGTCCGGTCCAGAACATTTTCGGATTGGAAAATTTCTCGACTTCCCTGGGCATAGAGTATGATTGTAATTTACCGTCTTTGGGACTTTATAACCAAGCAAATGAAGATGAATTCTTTCAATTTTGGGGCTGTGTATCTCACTACCTACCTCAATTCGCATTGCATTACGATCGACAAGGATATGTGAAACTGAAAACCAATTGATAGAAGAGCTTCCTTTTTCAATTAGATTGATCCCACATTCATACTAAATTCAAACACTCCGAGATGAAAGCTCATCGCCTGTAGTCAATTTTCCGCCTCACAGATGATAGCTTGGTGAATCCTTGCTTTTAGTCACCTATGAACGAGAGCGCACTCCATCATCATCGCCTGGAATCCTGAGGCAGGGTAAATTGCATACGCTTCCTTATACCAACATACACTGATTCACTGCCAAGCTCGTTCCCTGTAGAACGTACGTTGTTCAAATATCAATTTAATTAAATCATAAATAATAAATCAGTTCCATTGAGCTACGGTGGAGAGGTTGAACGCTTTCACTCATACATACACTGTTAGGTACGCACAGCACACTTACCGGGAAAGCCTCTTTTCATTAGACAAAATGCACTTTCCACATCTCGCTCCGGTGGTTCTTTTGTATCGTTGTCTGTTCATACCGATCCACACAGAATAGGACGTAAACAGGAAGCTTTCCCATCCATGGCTGAGCGAGAGAAATTGCATATTGGATTTATGTGATGAATTTCCACCAAAGCCGTACGCAAACTTCCGTTGACGATTGAATTTCTGGGTAAATCGTGAGCATTGAATGCGCAGTATGCTGAAAACGAGGCTCGGCGGATATCGGAGGTAGTAATACAAAGCGCTGCTGCGGAGATCCGGTTAGGTTTGATGTAATTTATGTAATGGCACGGATGCGACACGGTTTATTGGATTGCCACCTTTTCCCCTCATGAGCATCGTTCTACCTCTCGACAGAAGGAGGGTGGTTTCGGTCGATTGGAGGGATAATGAATCATGATATTAGTTTTCGCTGAAATAATAGCTGTCCAGCGTTATTCTTTGATGTAGGCTTTGAATTGAATACCGTTTCCGATATGAAAGTTGATGTGTTTACCAAAAAGGGCTTAGGGCTAAATTTGAATTATGTGGACAATGTTTTCCGTTCATATGAAGAAGATACGCAGATCATTTAAATAACGCCTTGAACAGTGATATCTATATAGATCACCACTTTACTCCCCCTTTGGGAGGCTTTCCCTGATTGCTAATGACAGTACGAGGTGCTAATGCTGACAGGTTAAAGACTCGTAGCATGTAAGCATCGCATTCATCACGCCACCAACTCTTTGTTCAGATTCAGAACAGGTCTGGGTAGCTGAAAGCTCGAAGGCTATTTGCCAGAGAGTATATTACGTTTCATCATTCTTCCTCCCTAACCACAAACCACAACCACTGCAATAGTAGTCAATTATACAATCGTATATCTACGGTCGACGACGAAGACGGTTAAATGCCAGCCCACTATTAGCGTGATTATTATTTTAAATGATACGCCATGAAGATAAAACCAACTATTAACTTATTCATGTCCTTCACTCCGATTCTACACAGGCACAAGTGGTGGACGCATCTCTGATTTCTTTCCTCTCTATGCTCTTCTCGCCATTTTGCAGAAAGATACACAACTCGTGTCGTGACTATTGCTGTCGCAAGAAGAAATTCAATCGCTCCATAGACCCGACGATCCAGAATGCCGTGGCTGCAGTGTTCCGTCATAATTCGTTCGCGCCATCCCGAACGCAGTCGTCCTCCGCCGATAATGCCGCCGGAGTACTGGTGACATCCTCAACCTTGAGCTCGTCATCATCGCTATCGTCGTCGTTGTCACATGCGCAGCCGGCACGCCAATCACCACGCCGGCATTGCGGAGGTAGCACCGTCAATGTACGTATAGAAAAGCACTAAAAATCATACATAATCAAAAGAGGTGAAGGTGGGGGTAAGGAACCTGGGAACTGTTGTGCGTTAGCCAACCCCTTACTATAGTATGCTATGCCTGTGATGCTATGCGGACGGAATGCGTTTCTAGGTGAGGTGCGTGGAACGTGAGTTGCCTGTTTGCAAAACAATAAAACATTTGAAATATTTTCCTTTAGGTACACTCAGCTATTAGCTTAGGGTAGATGTACCAGTTATTGCTATACGTTTGTATTATGATGTTTTCCAAAGGTTTGAGCCTCACGTGGGTATTATGGATATAATGGACTGAATTTTATAATTGATGAAAAAATTGAACGTTTTTTGGAAGAAGACTTGAAACTCCTAACATTGCCGAATATTATGATATCATCATATTACGGGGTTGCTAGTGTAAAAGGATGATTTGTTGATTATTCATGACCTCTTGATCACTGGGAATACTTGTGAATATTTGGACAAAAGTGTAATCAAAGAGGTGGACGCCTAAGCTTTTTCACATATATCGCTGTGAAGCAACTGTAAACTGTAGCGGGAATTTAAATCTGTAACTGAAACCAGTTCGTTCGATTTTGTTTGCTAATCGGGATGTTGTACTTAATTATCTGATAGTTAAATCGTCCAGCTCAAACTTTTGTAGGGGTAAAAGGATGTAAACCAATTAAAATTCCAAAGGCCATAATTGGAACACACCATAATACGAACGTATAGCCATAGGTACACCTAATCGAGTTAGTTACTTAGTTGTTAGGCCTGTAAAACAACTCTGTTGAAAGTGTTGACATAGAATTTTGGTTATTTTGAAAGGATGTACGTAAGACACGTAAGAATTTCAAGCGAAGTTCTTGAACATTGTCGGAATCTCTCTGGAGTGCTTGGATATTTTAAAAACGTCCCTAAAATCTTTAAAACTTCTCTGCAGTCGTTGGAGCTGCTTAAGACCTCTTGAAAGTTTTTTGAACTACTCGGAAATTCTCGGAAATTCTCTAAAGTTCCCAAAACGTCTCGGAATTTCTCGATACTTTTCGGAACTTCTCTTTAGCTCTTGGAAATGTACGATACCACTGTAACCAACAAACATTAAAAACAGCACGTTATCAGGAGCAAATTCTACTTTGACTATATATGTTTAGTGTTACTTCTGCGTGAAGTCAACGATTTACATAGTTGAAGATGCTAATTTCAAATAACAGACTGAAGTGGTAATTTTTATTTATTTAGAATATTTTTATTTTTATCTATCATCTGACATCGTGGTCTTAATGAAATATTCTTAATCCTAGTTTAATTAAATATATGCAGAGATCGTAAACGTTGTTTAAAAGTGTTTGTAGACATATTAAAATCAAAAACATGATACCCTTCTTGAAACCGTCTGCTTATAGAGTTCAAAGGGTCATTGGAGCCATATAAAGTATTCCTCGTAGTTGGTTGGATTAGTTGTCGTGACCGCATCACTCGCTCTGGGGCATAAATCCTCATACGATTCAGTAAGGCTGAACTATCAATCTCTGCGCGAAGTATCTTAGCTCCAAATACAGCTTGATCCATCTTACGACGATTTGCCAGCGGTTCGATATTCAGCAAGGCACAACGATGCTTATAAGGCGGTAGGTTTACTGGGTCACGCCAATGTAGACTTCGTAGTGCAGCCCGGACAAATTTACGTTGCACAGATTCGATCCTGGAGATCCACACAGCTTCATACGGTGACCAAACAACCGATGCAAATTCTAGTATTGATCTAAGTAGAGAGCAATAGAGAGCACGCAAGCAAAGTGGATCATTGAAGTCTTGCGTGATTTTTAGAATGAATCCTAATTGAAGGTTGGCTTTGTCAACAACAGCTGAATAATGCATCTTGAATGTGAGTTGGTGATCCAGCAATACTCCAAGATCCTTCACTTTATCAACGCGCTCAAGATCCTGTCCATCGATCGTGTAGTTGTACAGAATAGGCTTTTTGTACCGCCGATACGAGATGATGCAACACTTAGATACACTCACTTTGAGGAAGCTGGAGTTGCACCAATGAGCGAATCGATCCAGTAACTCTTGAAGTTGCCTGCAATCGGCTTCATTTCGTACTACGAGATAAATTTTCAAATCTTCTGCATAAATCAGCAGTCCCCCATTTGCTAAAAGGATCGTCACGTCATTGAAAAATAATACGAATAACAATGGACCAAGGTTGCTACCTTGAGGCACACCAGAGCACGGAGTAAACAGAGCAGACACTGTTGATCCAATTTTAACAACGAGTTGCCTGTTGTTTAAGTACGAACGAAGCCAATTACATACTCTGGTGGAAACGCCTAGTCGAAGTAGCTTGGCAAGAAGATTATCGTGGTTCACGGTGTCAAAAGCAGCCTTTATGTCGGTGTATACAGCATCAACTTGAGCTCCATCGTCCATTGTGCCGATACAAAAAGAGGTAAATTCACACAGATTGCTGTCCACTGATCGTTTGGGGTAGAATCCGTGTTGAGAGGCACTGATGTAGTTCCTGCAAGAGCTGAACAGTACTTCATTGACGATGATTTCGAGGCACTTAGGTCCAGCTGACAACGAAGTTATCCCACGGTAGTTAGAAATATCTGACTTATCACCTTTCTTGTGCACTGGAAGCATATGGGAGGTCTTCCAAGCAGAAGGAAACCACTGTTGCTGCAATGATTGGTTGAAAATTACTTGAAGAGAAGCAACCAAAAGTGCACTACACTTTTTGAATACACACGAAGGAATGCCATCCGGGCCAGGTTGCTTGAGTTTCTGTAGAGCTGATTCAACCGTCGCTGTGTTGATGTTGAATACATCAAGATCCACCGCGTATCTTGGTACCAGCTCAACAGCTACAACTATCACGTCCACAGTTGGCATACGATTCTCAAACACGCTAGCAAATTTTTGAGAGAAAAGCTCGCACTTTGCTTCTGCAGAAAGAGCATGAACATCTCCTAAGTGCATCGTAGTCGGCAATCCGCTCTCCTTACGTTTTGAATTTACAAAGCTCCAAAACCGTTTCGGGTTTCGCCGAAGATCATCTTGTCTCCGTCTAACGTACATTTTGCACAAAAAACGATTGTATCCACGATAGATTCGACTAGCTTCGTCAAACTGGTGCTTTAGATACAAACATCGTTGACAACAATATCGCTGCAGCAACTAGGCGCGCCGTCGACGCAGGGTGCTAAGATGCGCATTGGACCAAGCAGGATTCCTTGAGGGCCTTTTTAGCGGTACAGTTTGAATGATGCAATTATGCAAAACACGATTGAAGGAGCTGACGATGCTATCGACGTCATAGCTTTGGTATACTTCAGACCAATCAGCTTGGGACAGCAGTTCATTCAAGTTATCATAATCCCCTCGAAATTAAACGAAAGTTACGCTCAGAAAGGTCAACATCTTCTTGAAATGATACAGGAGGCACACAAACCACAGGCTTGGCACAACTTCTTCAGCTGCTAATGTTACGGTAGCGTTAGTCATAATTGAATCGTTTGAAAATATTAGATCTAGTACTCGGTCAGAACAGTTTCGAATTAAATTACGCTGCCTCAATCCAAGAAATGCCATACTATCAAGAATAATTTGACTGGCCATTAAAGTCTGTGACAGTATCGGATCAGCGAAGGCGTATCCACTGCTCGAACTTTTCCAGAACAGACGAGGTTGATTGAAATCACCGAACAAAACGAGCTCACCCATATCGATATGCTGTCTGTTTGCTTCAAAGATGGCATCTACATGAAGCTGAACAAAATTCTGGTCCTGACTTTTATCTGGCGGCATGTACAGTGCACCAACAAACAGCTGCTCAATGTTGCTTGTAAGCTGGACAACTGAAGAAGCGTACTTTCGCTTCACGGCTATTAGTACGCCTCCGCCACGTCGACGCAAGCACTTGGAGGCGCAAAGGTCAACGCGATAGACGCAGTAGTTGTTGTTGAATAGCTGGCAAGATTGTATACGATCGTCCAGCCAAGTCTCTGTGAACACGTACACGTCGTAATCCAATTCGGCGGTTGCAAGAAAAGCTTGATCAATTTTAGTCCTGAGGCCAAGAACATTCTGGTTGTACAGGTGTAGCTCAGATGATATATCGGCGACGTTGGGTGCGGTGAGACCAGAAGATGCACCATTCCGCTCAGGTAAACTGCAACGCGAATGTTTGTCAGGCAGAGAAATGTTTTGATGTGTAGAATACTTGCCTGGCAACACAGACTGGAAGACCCCTTCACCGATCTCAACCGCAGGACCAGGACGGCTCCGATGGCTGGAAACAGCATCAAACACGACTGGGTCGAGTGGATCAGGGGCTTCCAAAGTGCTGTATACAGTGCGTCCTCGTGGTGTCAAATCCATTTGAGGGTGTACTTTGTCCGAATTCGGATAACAGAGGATGTTGTCACGTGACACCGGTTGGGTTGACAGCGTAAAGGAGTTATCTGCCATTACTGCAGTGGAATTGGAATCCCGGCCACGAATTACAAGCTCAGCAGGAAGATCAGAAGCATTGGAGCTGACATCAATGGCACTCCGAGGGTTACTGGAACTCGTAAAGCAATTAGGCAAGATAGCGTTTCTAACATACGTATACTTGCCTGAGAGGTGTTGCTGGGTGACCCCACCACCAGCCACAACCACAGGTCCAGGACGACTACGTTGGCAGGAGGAATCAGCAAACATGACTGGGTCGGGTGGATCCGGGGCTCCCATAGAACTGTGGGAAATGCCTCCTGCGGAGTATATACGAACGGCTATGTTGGTGGATGTGCTTCCGGAGGTAAGCGCTGATTTTTCCATTATTCCATCGGTGTGTCTATAGTAACTGTTGTACCTCCATCTGTTGCTTGATCATTGCTCCGGTTTACAATCTGCGCTACGTTTTTTGTGCGGTCATCACGGAAGTAGATATTTTCTGGCCAGGAATCAGTACAGAGCGCAATACCTTTCATCTCCTT